GTAAAGAAGGCATCATAGTGGATTTCCTCTATATTTTTTTGGTTCGTTAGCTGACATACGATGCTTGATTCTACGTAATGTCTAGAATCTTTGAACTTCCTAGATTCTAGTTCCTCAACCTTAATTGGCATTAACTTTTGCCTTTTCTGCTGATAATCGGCATCTAACAGCATACTTGATCTTATATTAATGTGAAGTGATTGGAGCTGTTAATTGAGATTTGGATAATTACCATCTCTTACAACTTTTCATGAAATTTGTTGTAATAGCGTTTATCTTCTGAGTGCAGCATGAGGAACCTAGTTTAGCCAAAATCATTGGTGAAGGTAGAGGTGATGCATCTGAAGCCTTTGCACAAGCATTACAAGAGAAGGTTATTCTCATTTCTTAGTGATAAAAGCAAGAAATTATTTTTTCCCGTTCCATGATACACAATAGTTGAGAGGATTCATAACGGCGTTTATCTCATGCTTCGTGAGTATTGATTAGTCTTCAATACTTAATGGAAGTAATTTTTTGTTCCTATGTAGTCGTTTGTATTTGTCATTTTTTTTGCTTTCATAATGTAAATATTTTGTTTTTATCTTTCCGGGCGTATTGTTAGGTTGGAGCTCTTTTACTTCTATCACAGCAGGAAGAGAGACATTTACATGAAGAAAATGTCAATGCAGCTCTCCAGCAGAAAGTAGATGAGCTTCAAAGGAATGTCTTGCAGGTTTCTTTTTTCTACATGAACTTGTTTCATACTGAGCAGATAAAAAATTATAGACCTGAATAACTCTTACGACCAGTTCTGAATCATCTTGAATATTCTTTTAGGTTACCAATGAAAAGGTGAGGACCCTTCTGGAGTTAGCACGACTACGACAGGAATATCAGTCGCTAAGAGAGTACGATATCATCCTTTTCTCAAAGAATTTCTTCCTAGCTGTCCTAGTTTTCTTTGCATGAAGTTCCTTTGCCGGTAATGATTACATGTTCACACACATGGTCTTCGGCTTTCCGCTACTTGATATATAGTAAGATTTAGTACAATGTTTCCATCAATGTAGACAACCTGAAGTGTTGATCATATAGAAGGTTAGGTATTGTACATTCTGTAAATGGTCTAGGCAGACGTTTGAAACCATTTGCCCTCTATCTTCGGTTTCAAAGTCACTGATTTTCTTTTGTGATAGTCTTTTCTCGTACCTGCCATGCTAGTGACATTTATCAGAGATTATAATAGAGCCAGAAAATCTATTGTGTTATATATATTGCATTTGGTTTCTGAGTTTTATATAGGATAAATGGTATATTCCTCTAAAGAACTGATATCCTTGTCAGCAAAATGAGTGGTACAAGAGAGGAAGAAACAACGGAAAAAAGTGGCAGGATAGTTATCAGCAATGAGAAAGAAGGAAGACTAAAAAATATATGGAAGAAGTCTTACATAAATCGTTGGATCGACCCAAGTTCAAGAGAAGGGGGAGGTCACTTGAACACTGAAGCAGATAATGCCGGTAACATTGATTATGCCAGGTTTGTCATCCTACATTTACATTGGAAAAGATTTTTGTTCTGTGGTCTCCTTTGTCTGCTCAAACTGTGAAGCATCTGCAATCAATTGCTATTGTTTTGGCAGAATGAAAGTAGATTATGCAGCTTTAAAAGAGAGCCTGGAAAGCATGGGGCACTTAACTACTTCAATCCGCAGGCTTCGTTTAGCGCTCTTGAAGGTAATATCAGCACACTATAGTGATATGGACCAAGTTTTTTTGTTCCTTCCTGTTATGTTAAATTTTATTTTTTCTATCTTACAGGTAAAGGAGTTGAATGATACTGAAACCACAGCGAGAAGATGCGAAGTAGCAATTGCCAACATCCTTGTGGAGGCAACACATTTGAAGACAGCCCTTGGCATTTCCATACCCATTAGCTGGTCGGCTGAATCAGACATGGAATCAGTTGTTGATGGCGAATCAAGCTGTGAGAGGACTGATTCTGTTTCTGCTGCAGGATTTGAGATGGTGGAGCTTGTCATTCTAGCAGCCGAGATAATGAAAGAACAACACTACTGAAATTCATTCTTCAGTTCCCTACCGGCATTGTGAGTTGGTCTGTGCATATGATTTATTGAGAAATCTTTCATCAATTTCGAATCTTCATTAGTCATTAGGTTGTTTAGTATTGTGGATTCGTGAGAATTTATTTTTGATTGGGTTCCAGTAAGAACAGAATAGTGAAACTGACTTTTTATAGATTATAGTTCTGGAATTACAATATGATGATGGAGCTCCTCCCACTCTCCTCCTTAATGAACCGCAAAGCTCTCAATAACACTTTTAAAACTCTCTCAGACATAATATAGATAAAGACTGAATAGATTGTTCGGTGTTTAAGAATCAATTTTAACTTGAACCAGTTGAAGAGGACCCATCTCCTTAGTTACCTCGAAGCTGAAGTTTGTAGACAAGTGCTTCATCCATGGATTAGTTACAGTCACTGTGTAATTTCCATGCAGTAAGGAAATCTCTGGAGAAAACCCGATTATTCGATCTCCTTGTTCGTCATTATGTTCATGGCTTTGGATAGGAATCTCTGCAGGTTCTTGTTGCCACTCTCGGAGTAACTTGTCAATGAGATCCCCTGCTTCTGTGTTGTTGAAATCTTTGTCGGCAAGAGTTAGCTTGTTGAAACCGGACATCTCAGGTCCCGCATATATGATTATGCCTGTGACTGCAGGATGCGAGTAAGCTTCCCTCAGAATCTCCTCCATGTATTTAACCTAGAACCACGGCTTGCTTGTTATGTTATGTTATGTTAGTCACCTCAAAGTTCAAACTAGCCAAGTGTGCATAGCACATATACCTGATCCGGGCACTTGGGCATATCAACCTCTGTAAGCCAAACCGGAAAACCCAAAGAGCCTAACATATCTAATGCGGATCTCATGTAAGCCAAGTTGGGCTGATTTGGAGTAAAGTGAGCTTGTGCTCCAATTCCACCTTTGATATTCATGTTTCCTGGGTATGAAACAATCTCTTCCATCCTATTCTTGACGTTAATCGGGCTCCCAACTCTTTCTCTAGCATACTCTACCGTGTTGAACTCGTTCAGGAACAACGGAATGTCAGGTTCAAGCTTGGATGCCAAAGAGAAGACAATAGCTGAAGCGTTTTTCCCAAGCATTTCCTCAAAGTAGGTGAAATGTACATTCTCATTCATCACATCCCATCCAATTAATCTCCCTTTATATCTCTTCATAACCGAGTTGATCCTGTTATGAGTCACGTTCTTCAGATCTTCAGGATCCGTTATCGCCTTAACCCAACTTGGCTGCCAATTTTTATCGTCCCACAAGACCGTATGCCCTTTGACTAGAATCTCGTTTTCCTCTGCAATCTTCATCATTGTATCAGCCAATGTGTAGTTCTCTTGGCCTCTCACTGCCTCATTTGTATACCATTTCATTTCATTGGTGAAGGAAGTTAGTCTAAACCGCGACACAAACCATTCTCTATAGCTGTCACTTTCCAAGATTCGGTAGTTCATAGCACAACCAAAAAGGAAAGATGGTTTGTTCTGTTTTATGGAAATCACTGATCCTTTTACTGCACTTTTGTTCTGAAAACTTACTTGAAATCTCACTTTGTTCTTCCGAATCTGCGTTTCTCAAAAAAATTGTGTATAAGGACGCAGATTGTTTCGAACGCTAATTAATTTTGGTGTCTGTGTTTACATGTTTAATACCTTTTCAACGACTTGGTCTTGTTGTAACCTCCACTGAGTTTTGCTGAACCGTTTCAGCCTCACATTTTGTACAGATATCTCTGCGGCTGCTAAGCCATCGCTCTGCTTCGCTTAAATTCTTGCATTAGTGATGAAAATCCACAAACAAACACATCAATTTATACTTTGTTTACCTTGAAGAAAATGTCGAATGGGACTGAGACATCGACGATAAAACCGCCTTTAAGCAAAGACCAGCATCCATTTTTCGCCATAACTTGGCCTCCATCAATGTATCTGACATTCTTGCCCCTCAAAGTTACTCTGACTCTTCTTTCACTGACATTTCTCAACTTTACCCAAGCTGGATCATACCAATTCAAGAATATCAAAAATCATAACTTACTACACAAAAAACAACAACCAACATTTTGTTACCAGAGATGCTGTATATGTTCCCTTTCTGAATATCAACCCTCTCTATTACTATTTGGTTTCCTCGGTTTTCGTTGATCTTCAATTCTTCTCCAGTATTGTTAGTTTGTGGAGGCTCCATGAGGCACTTCTCATGATGTTACAGAGATTAAAACATTGTATTCTACTAATTATATTTGAAAAAGTATAATCTTACTGATTTTTAGTTTTGTACCTCTGGTTTAAGAGACTGAACGTAGGAGAAAGGATCCATGCAAAGCCCTGAACCCAGAAGAAAAGGATGACAAATAAGAAAAAACACAAAGTGAAAAAAGCCATTGTTGAATCTCTTCATGTTTTCTTGTGACAACTTAATAATACCCATCCAGATATATAAAGACTCTTGTGGATTCCACTATTTTCTAGTTTTTCTTTTTTTAAGCTAAATTTTTATATGTCACACAAAAGCTGTATACATTTTTTTTTTTAAATCGTGAAAGTTCCGGACGTTGGAATCTGAAGTCACATTTTAGATATTTCAATTAATGAACTCTCCATCCCATTAAAAATTGAATCAGGGATACAAAGAAACCAACCCCTTGTATTAGCACTAGGTAGGTCACTACTCCATTGGTTTTTCCATTTATTAACATTTTTTTGTTTTGAAAATAAAATTATGATGCCTCAACGATACAAAGTCCAACCAAAGAAAAAATCGAAAAATAGTATAAAAAAGAAGTGCAACACGAAGACTTCTCCGTAAATCACTCATCTTAATATTATTCTAGTCCAAACACGCTTGACTGCAGAGTTTTCCATTTAATAATCGCAGAGGAATAAGTATACTACTCAATTAACTTATTTAATATTCATTTATATGCCAATTTTTAAGGGGTTAATTAGTTCAATAAAATGTTTGAACATATAAATTAATAAACTAACATAAGAATTTGTTAATTTAGTAACTAGCAAAGAGAAATTAATTTTGACTAATTTACCCTTGCAATAAATTCAATCAAGGTTGTCATCTTAATGCATATTTAATGCAAATTTCTATCTTAATTTAAAAATAATAATAATTTTTTTCTAAAAATAAATACAAAGTTGACATATATAAAATAAATTTATTTTTCGTCTTTTTTTTCTATATTTTTCGTTTTCCTTTTTTTGTAACTGATTATTGTTTAAAAGTTTGAGTATATAAATTATATAGTGAACTATATCACAAGTTAGATATCATTGAAATAAATAGTGAACTATTTCACATAAATAGTGAACTATTTCTCTATTTAAATAAAAATAGTGAACTTTATTTTAATATAATTAACTACTTATTTGATATAATGAATTATAAGTTTCATACTTTGAAAAATGCATAATAGTAAACTATTTGTGAATATATTTAACTATATATGGAATAATAAACTATTTGTAGATATAACAATTATAGTTCATTGTCTGTGAATAAAGTTAGTTATATAGACAACTATATGTTTATATATTGCTAACTATATGTGAATATATAACTAACTATATTTAAATATAGTTATTTATATTTCTAACTANCTAGATAATAGTGAACAATTCGTGAATATAACTACTATAGTTGACTATTTGTGAACATAATTAACTCTATAAATAATTATATGTGGGTATATAGTTAACTACACATATAGTTAGTTATATATCTAACTATATAATCATTTAC